GCGTAAGATATGACCAATCCAATTAGCCTTCCGTTTTCGTATTTCGTGTAGGATATTCCTCTGCTCACTGACTCTAAATAACACTTCTTCATTTCTCACATAATCGGTCCAACTGATGTTCTCCATCCTTCTCCAACACCACATTTCGAAGCTTTCCAGGTGTTTCTGATCTACTGCCCTAAGTGTCCAAGTTTCAGCCCAATAAAAAAGCAATGCTCCAAATGTAGCATTTCACTAGTTTCTTTCTCAAATTTAAGTCCAATTTGCTGGTAAAAAGATAGCTGGAGTACATGAGCATAAAATGTTCTTCTCTAAAACAGAAATAAAACTTTATGAAAGAGACTTAAAATTGCTCCATGGTTGTCAGTGCTACTAAGGTTTTCTGAGTCCCATGGTTGTGTTGTGTTTAGATGTGGTAGTGATTAGCACATTCTGTAAGGAAACAAGTCATGGTAATAACATACACAGAGATTGAAGAAGTATTTAGAAAAAGTTAACTGCAAAGATGCTTGAGAGAGAACATTTAGCTAGATGCAGTGGTGTGAGGTCCTGGTAGTTGATTGCATGCTGACTTGCAGTAGACTGTGGTGTGTTGTACTGCTTTGTGGTTGGTAATGACATCGAATGTGGGGCGATAAGCATTTCTGTAGGTGTTGTTTCAATGTACTCTCTGTTCTTTGTTGTCATAATTGTGGAATCATTCTCAAGACACTGAGGAGTTTTCTTTTTCTATTAATATGTAAAATGTCCATGCTATCTTCTATTTTTTCATGAGTGATCAGTTTCAAATAATGTGTTGTGTAAATGCTGATTTAAGACTTTTTTTGTTATGATTAATGTGTTCTTTGTATCTGATTTTGAAGTTCTAACCACTTTAGACCACACATGTATTGTCATAATCTGAGCATTTCAGTTGGTAGAACTCCCAATTTGCTTCATTTATCTGAAATGTTCAGATTGAGGTAAGAAGTGTGAGTATGCCAAAGAGGCCAGAATTTCAAAACCAGGTAAAAGGACCAGCACTACAACCACCACAACATGATGACAGTGGTGGTGGTGGTGGTGGTGGTGGTGGTAGTCGTAGTAGTAGTAGTAGTAGTAGTAGTAGTAGTAGTAGTAGTAGTAGTAGCAGTATGTTGGATGATAATCAGTAATATGTTTATATGTTTACAATTGCAATTACAACTTAATGATGATTAAAAAATATGATAATCTATGCTGAAGTTCAGCATACTGAACTCTGAAATATGACAGAAGCAGGACTGCAATGTTAGGTTAAAAACTTGCATTACCTAAATATGGCATTAAACCTTCATCAGGAGAACCCTAAGTGTTTAGTCCAGCATGCAAATGGTATACTTTATACATCACTTTGGGCTTAGAGAACTGGTAAAAAAAAATGCTATCCCTGTAACACGCCATGAAGGACCATACGGCTCTGAGACACTGAGGGTCCCATATTATCTAGACAATCGGCTCAAAGACGGTCAGCCTTACGCTCCAACCATGCTTTACTCCCCAGGAAAATTATTTAATTAATTCCTGGTACTCATTTCTGTTAGAGGCTGAGTTGAACCCAGGGCCAGGCTGGAAGGATTAGGTCAACTGAAAATAAATCCAATGACTGCATCGGGACTTGAACCAACGACCTTTGGGCTTAGAGAACTGGTAAAAAAAAATGCTATCCCTGTAACACGCCATGAAGGACCATACGGCTCTGAGACACTGAGGGTCCCATATTATCTAGACAATCGGCTCAAAGACGGTCAGCCTTACGCTCCAACCATGCTTTACTCCCCAGGAAAATTATTTAATTAATTCCTGGTATTCATTTCTGTTAGAGGCTGAGTTGAACCCAGGGCCAGGCTGGAAGGATTAGGTCAACTGAAAATAAATCCAATGACCGCATCAGGACTTGAACCAACGACCTTCCGATTGTAGCATAGTGCGTCAGCCAACTACGCTACCGCGTACCCCTGGGCTTAAAGAACTACTCATGAATTTATATAAACTATTCACTTATTTTATCTGTGGGAACCTCCCACATTCCAACAGGCAACTCCCACAACATAGTCGAAGTCAAAGGCAAAATCACACTGTGACTGACAGTCAGTCAGTCAGTATGTCTGTCTTAGTGTCGAGTTCTGGTTTGGGCTCATGACCAGATGTTCCTTCATATGTGAAAGTTAGTGTCCTGTCCATGTAGGGCACCCTCTATGATGAGAGGTCAGGTCTGTCATTTGTCATAGTGAGTAATTTTAAGATTATTGTCAGTATGTAGAGGTGTTTACAATTTAATCTTAATTGCTACTTCTGTGTACAATATATACAACGCCTCTGTCAGACCAGGCTCAGTACAGCAGACTATGCCCTATTTCTAGTAGTGTTTGCTACCATGGTTGTATGCCTGACTGCCACCAAATTTAAGTTCAAGTCTTAAAAACACAACACCGGAGGTTCGATCAATAGTAAAGTTGACTTTAAGAATTCTGCCTGGAACTTCATGTTATGGTATAAGACTGTTCATCATTATCACTGCCATAGGAATCCTATCTTAAGTATTTTCATATCATAAACTGTTCCAGTATCTCTGCATCAGGTAATTTTCATGATTGTGTTTGGTACACATCTTTAGATACAAAACCGCTCCTGTCTTCATTTCCATATATTTTTTATTTCTGTTTTTCCCATATAGCAGTATCATACAATAAATACAATTACAATCTTATATATTCTAATGATAATTTTATAGCAAAAGGCACTGTGGGAAAAGAAATGATGTAAACTGCTGATCTGTGTAACAGACTGCATTTTCTGAAATTTAGTATGTTTCTAACATCATAATGAAAAGATTAAACATAAAAATTCCTTGAACATGATGTAAAAGCCACTAAATGCTGTTATAAGTATGAGGTTTTCATGGCAGTGATTGTCCAGACTGTGGTCTTCTGGTTCTAACATCATATGGTGTTGTAAATGGGTACCAATGCCTAGGAGGATAAAGCTATCTGTCTCTTTAGGGTTGAATTATGTAGGATGAGCAAACTTGCGATTTCTAACCTTTTATGCTTTGACCCTGAAGCACAACACAGAGTACCACTGTCAGATTAATTACTTAATTTCTCACTGATATCTCTATTGTAGCTTTTGTTTGTTTACAGACTGAAGTATCTGCATTACACAATATTTTACTCAGTTCAACTGATGTTACTCTATGTGGCTTACAAGATAGTACTTCACTATTGGATCACCTTCAAGGATGTTTTATTGGAAATACTACAGTAGAAACCCAGAATTTCCAAGTATAATGCTACAACTGCCTAATACAACTATATGTAGTTTGTGATTTGTGGTATTCTGTCCATCAAGGCAACCATGAAAATAAACTAACTGAATTGTTTACATTGGTTGTATTCAATAACTGGTACATGTCATCATTAGGCAGCTTCCATAAATGTGTCTCATGTTAGTGAAATATTCTGATATGGATAAGTAACATGAGATGTACTTAATGAAACTACCTAAAGATGGTTCCAAATGTGGACCAAAACATGTAGCAGTTATTAAACAAAACCAATTTAAACAATTTGTTTATTTTCATTGTTGTGTAGAAAGCTAGACCACCACATATGATACACAACAGAAGTAAACAGTAAAGATATATAGTTTCGTAGAAACAATATATGAACTAACAGTCTCCTTATATAAAATTGTATTAAGTCTGTTTCAGTATGAAAGTTTAGATTGAATGATGAGCTGATTTTGCCATTGGAAGGTATAACATTCTGTTCATCATGAACAGAAAAACCATTGTACAATACTCTTATGTAACTGTTTTGTGGTTGTTACTACAGCATCTTTCATGCCGCATTTTAAGAAAATTGTCAAATTATTTACCCCAAAAAGTGTTTAATGTTGATGAGGTTGAGCTGTCATTCACAATTTGCTTTCTTCACTTGAGCCATGGGTGAATACAATACATAATGCTAAATTTTAAATAAATAAGTTTGTAACATAGAGAAGAATACACAAGTAAACAGAATAACATTCATATTGTCTATATTGTATTGCATACTATGGGCACAAAGAAAAAGCGAATGTAACGTATTCATTTCCTAAGTTTCTTAAGAGAAAAATGGGTCTGCTTAACATTATTTCACATAATGTCATGGTTTACAAAAATATATCCACGATGTTGAAAGTTGATGTTAAATGAGGATCTGCTATAATAAAGTTACAAATTTTATGCACAATTCTTATATCTTAAACTGAAGTCCTGTACAGTCACATAAGCTAATATCTATTTTACTGTTTATTTCTTATTTGTAGTTTATTTAATGATATTAGTAATTCAGACTATACAGTAACAAATAGCTAAATGATATTCAATTGGAAAGGATGCAGAAGGAAGCAGTTGTAGAATAAATTTAAAGCACTGCCCTGGGATTTTCCTGGAGGGACTGAGGAAACCCACAGAACAGACATCAGGGTAATCAGTGTCTTAGTCAAGGTGTGAGCCAGGAACCTCTAAGAGTACAAATCGAAGTGTTACCACCTGAGTAAACACACCGAGTATATTTTGCTATCTTAGATATCAATGCTGGATGGAAAAGACACAGCTTAATATGAACTTTCTGCTGTCTCCTATATCATGATGTGAAGGTATGGCAAAGAGTTCTCCAAAGTCTGGGCTTTGTTTTGTAGTTTTTCTTTTCCCTCTTCAGTATGTTTTATCACTCTGTCCCACTTTTGTCTTAGTCTCCCTTTTGCCTGTTTTACCCCTTTAGGATAAAGCTTAAAATAATAAATATTGTCAGTGTAGAAGTGACTCTTGAAGCTGTTTTGTCTGGAGATTGGATTTATTGACCACTTTAACACATGACTCATAACTACACTTCATTATAGCATCATCGCTGATCTCCACACTTTACAAATCACTAGAATACACAGACTAGTGTTCACAGTCTGTTACAGTATCCACCAGTCATTTCCTAACAAGAGCTTCAAACAGTAGAGATTCTTCAACTGCACTTACCAAGTCTTATTTTCACAGACTCCCTTACAATTCTCTCAGTGCTTCAACCAACTAACTCCCAGGATAGCGGCCATTTCACACCAACCTCCTAGTCTTCTCTCAACAGACTGACTTTTAGCTAACTTAAGCTCTAAACTTGTCCCATTGATAACCCCTTGGTATGGACCGAGTAGACAACACCGTTTCCAATATTTCCTCTATTACTGAGTGTTGATTCATCGCTGCAGACACACATTTACTGCACTGTTGCTTACCAATACCAGTGGAGTGGAGCACAGAAAACAACACTTCCAACAGTTCCTCTGTTCTTGAGTGCTGATTCATTACCATAGGAACCTGTCTGTTTGAGATCACTACCTAGTAACGGATCTACATGCCACAATATTTAACTGTGTTTGCATCCTTCTTTTTTTATTTAATTAACAGCATATTTACAATCTATTCTCAATAATATGGAGTATTAAGTAAATTTGTTCTAAGTACTTGTCTTGAGTAGAGAAGTCATTCACTGATGATACTCTGACAGGCCCTGTAGAGGAGTGGCAATGGTTTTAATCTTTGTCATCTGAGCGTTGTGGTAGGTCAGACACCCACTGTCTCCTCAACCTTCTTATATTTGGTGGGTTGCTAATTTCTACAACTAGTCTGTTATTGTGTCCAAATACACAATCCTTGTTCAGCCACCCCTTTCTTTCTTTGTGCACCGTTTTGGTGATGGGATGAATAGCATATTTTTTTATTTAACCATTCCCAATATCACTGTATGCTTGTTGCACTGCATTTTGATGAAACATGTTTTGCTCATCACATAATCATTATCATGTTTGTATATGGAATTATGTTAAGCTGATACACTATGTATGCTTCAGGCAGTTGTCAATAGAATGTTTCAATTCTGGTTTAAAAGTGGTTAAAACCTTGGTAAAATTAAAATGAATGTCCTACTGTTTCCTTCATAATTTGAGAGTAGCTCATCAGAGTGGTATTTTGTTGTTGTTCTTGTCCCAGTGTGCTTTCCTGTTGTTGATTAGCATCTTTCAGTTTTTTGATATATTATCTGATTTTCATTATTACAGAAATAATGATAAGAATCTATAAAGAGTGCAACTAATCATGATCAGAATGAAGCAAGAAGTTTGTTGGCATCAGAACTCCACCTTCTAATTTTGTGGTTCAATGTTAACAAGAATTTACAATTTACCACTGGAAACAGATCCATTCTCTATTTGTATCAATTAATGCTACTTAAATCTGTATGGTCTATCATTTTATATTCTTATTAGTTCATGTTACATCAATCTATATGGACAGTCATTCTATATTTTCATCAGTCGAAAGTACTTCTACTGTGATACAAATTCACCAAACATTTCTAACATTACTGAAAATAAATTTCTTTAGTTTTAGCATAAGTGTCACATCTCGCTTTTGACTCAGTTCTCTGGCAGCAACAGTGCTCAAATAAATGCAAAAGAATTTATCATACAACAATAATACCTTTACTTTCTTCTTGATATCTGTCCCCAAGAATACAACATATCGTTTTCATGTATGTAGATAGTGATGTCATATGTAACAGAGCTGAATACCTTTATGAAAATCAACAAAACATTTAATTATAATTGAGTTCTATAATAATATGTACATTTTATGCTGCTCAGTATAGATTTACAAGTAAGATGCAAGATTCCTTCATTTGCAACTCATGTTCTTTTGAAAAGTACATTCCTTTGGACTCTGGCTATAGAAACTAATTATTACATCAAGATATTCTGTGAACCCCCCCCCCCAAANAAAACAAATTTCAGTCACCATCACCACTTCCTCCACAATGGTCAACGCTGCCATTAGGCAGTTTCCAACCCAAATTGGTAGCTATAAAGCCACAGTATGCTAATAAAATAACTGCCTAACTTGTTACTGACTAGACATGGGGTTTGGATTTATAATTGGATCTAGTGAACGCCTACAAATCCTAACTGCAAATAACTAATAGTTTCATGGATTCACACTCTCTACAGATCACTCCAACTATAGTGCACATAACGTCTTCTGTTTATTCACTAGTCGTTGTTAAGTTGCGGCTGCTAACAACGCAACTGAAAAGACTGCTAACAACCTACTCTAACCAATTAACTTTCCCCACTGGTCCTCGCTATATAGCCTCAGCATGGACCACATACTCGTAGAATACACCACTTTCAACAATTCCTTCATTACTGTGCGTTGATTTGTTTCTGAGGAAATGAGTTTGCCGTTCTATTGCCTAGCAATGGCCATCTTTTCTATTTAATCTTTAACGTCCGAAGTACACACATCGGTACACTGAAAGGTATATTCGTCTTGGCAAAAGTGCATTCGGGCATTTGAACGTCACCAGTAGCAGCGCGCGCACACGCGACCAGTGGAAGAGCATGCACAATTCTAAATATTTATTTTTTAAATATAGTAAAATTCAATGTACATACCTCTTTTATCTGCTTGACGTACATATACGCTGCTTCCACAGACCCCGGCATCGAACGGAATTGCGCCTTTGTATGGTACTCCTACAAATACCCAAAAATGCACAGTTGCACGTCTCACTTTCTGTGCACTTCAGCTGCCTTTCACTGTTACCATCTTCCAAACTGCGTTTCACTGCCATTGTATGACGAATGAAACTACGATATTCAATTTCACTCTCACTTCACAGAAAACTACTCACAGTGTATTTCAGCTATCGGATATTGCGATCGGGCTTGGCACTGTTGTACGAAACAAAGAAATTTCTCTCTAGGCTCTCCTGAATTCCCCTCTTGTCAACAGAATTGAATATTTTAAGAGTATAGCAAAAATGTGAACCTTACGAGCAGAATAATAAAACAGGTGTTTACCGACACCAGAGATATACGTCACGTGTTACAAGAAGGAATGATTCTATAATGCTGAACCACTTTTGGGAGAAGCAGGTAATTTCTTTTGTACAGTACGCATTAAATTACAATATATATATATATAGTTTTTGTTTAAACATTTGGTTATAACATGTAATACCATGTTCCTTGCTGATGAAAACAAGGTTAATGCCATTAATTAATGGCATTAATTATAATTTATTGCAAAATTTGTGTCAGATACAGTATTTTAATAAAGTTGTTAAAATTATTTAAAACGCAAAACAGCAACGGACATTTAAATAAACTCCGGCCAGCCCACTCTACGATCATTTAAAAATACCAGGATTTTCAGTTGTCATATCACAATATTCTACATTTTTGTCTTATTTTACTAATCTAGTCTAAACCGATCGGAGCTCGAACATTACCAGAGAACAGGGACAGGCGTATACGCAGCGAAGCATCGAAGTTCGACGGATCCACATTATGGGCGATGTTCCAGCGGCAGTTCGATACCGTGGCAGAGCACAATTGCTGGCGCCCCAGGAGACAGTCACATACGCGTACTTATCGCCGCAGAGGGCCGGGCCTCTGACCTGCTACAGGGAGTCCCGAAAAGAGCGAATTATAAGGAAAGCGTCGACGCCCAGAAGGCCCGCTTCGGTGACCAGCACTTGGGTGCCGCATATCGCAGATAGCTGAAAACGACGATCCAGCGCGCTGGAAAATCCGTACAATAAACTTCCACCTCAGCCGAACAGCTGTCGACCGCGCCTAGCCTGCAAATTCAGTTACTTTACGAGTGGCGATTTAACGTCAATCAGTTCGTCCTGACGCCCAGCCCCTTGGGACCCACGACCAGAGATTTTTTCAACTGAATCTTCACGGTCATAGCTCCAATGTAACATCCTCTCTGCCGAGAATATGGGTTTGTCTCTTATGAACATGCTTGAACTTTGTCAAGTGTACGTATCGCATAGAAAATGTTACTGAAAATTCTTTCTTTTGCACTATACGGAAATCGTCTGTCAGCATACGCTTTGCAAAGTAGATGTCTGTCTTAAGTATCTTACGCTACGAAAGCAGCTGTCACTTGAACGGTCGCAAGCTTGACCACCGCCAAATTTAAGCCTCTTTTATTTTCTATATCTGGCTTATCCTTGTCCTGTACTTCTGTATCACTTCTTGTTGCTTGCACAATTTTGTAATATAATCGTTTACATATGGGAGGTTGAAGCCGTGTGCAAATTGCAAACTGCTTTGTGCCATAGGAAATTTCCAATGGTGTAAAAAAATCTTGTTTTGTAAGCGCAGCAATTTTAAGAGTTAAGTGCCTGCCGTTAATTCCTAAGAGGGAAGCAACAAGATGTGCGCCAACGGGGAGGAAGACACCGAAATAAAAATCCAGCTCCTTCTGAGAGGAGAAAACAAAACGATGAACGAGACACTCAGAGAAGCTCTCGAGCTACTGGCTGTGTTCCTAACAGTCAGTTGAAGAGTTCTTTCTTCTGACATATAACACCATGTAGTCCGTTGAAAGTAAACCATGTTTCGGAGGACATTTCGCATTCATCTTCAGGCCCTTCCTGAATAAATACAATTGCAAATCGTACTTTGAGTTTATAGAAAGTGCACAATACGTAGGGTTTGAGGTTCTCATAGCAGTGGTTTTGAAGAGTTCTATCTTCTGGGATAGAACGCCATGTAACATGTTGAAAGTCAACTGATGTTTCGGAAAAATGTCCCCCATCTTCAGGGTCAAAGAATAAGCCAAGCAATATACCAGCTTGAAGCAGGTAGCAAACAGCTTGCTATCTGCTGGCATACTCTTCAACCCTGACATGTTTCTCTGAAATATCAGTTGACTTTCAATGGAATACACAACATGATAACCCAGTAGATAGAATGCTTCAACTGCATAGTTGTTGCTTGGGGTAATATGTTTGTAGATGTGCAAGGTATATTTCTTTCCTTTCATATCCTCCAGTTACATGTCTTTTGAAAGAAATCATATGTCCAAGTATCCTGTTCCCAGGGAGTATGATCTAGAACAACACATCTGGTCACCAGCTAATTTGAGAATAGGCAAAGAAAACTTGCAACTGGGGAACTGAGTTCAAGGTGATACAACATTTAACAGAAGTCTTCAGTAATGTATTACTCATTAAGGATACAGGGGTAAGAATTTGCTTACCAGATGTAAGGATATCTACTACCAGAACTCAAAATCAAACAGAGTGACGATAAGTCACTTCAATATTCCAGCACCAAGGTATCCATTTTAATTGGTAGCATCAACAAAAACAATATTTTTACTATTATGTAATTTTATTAATAGAAGTCATGTTTGTATTGTTTTCATGAACAGTCAGACCACAGATGTTCTGTTGTATTTTTTTAAATTGCTGAGCATAAAACTGTCAGACAGAATGTTATAATTTTCTAGCTTAATCAGATGGATGAAACAGAAGTAATTAAAAAGAAATGGTTATTACATCTATTACAAATAAATAACAGTATTTACAGAATATGGAGATGCAAATAACAAACTGCACTATCAAAATGTCATACAGCTCTTATCAATATTAATTACACTGTCATACATAACCTAGAATTATGTACAAGATGATATGATTCACATGCAGTTTAATAGTTAAAACTTAGAACAAGTCTGCTACTGGATGTCTGTAATGCTTTTAAACATGCCAACCTCTACTGAAACATAGTGAAAATCAACATGGCGAGCAAGGTGATATGTTGAAATGAGTTACAGTGTTATCCAGCCTGGTCCTGTTACAATGTGCTCAAATCACTTCAGGAAAAACTGTAGTTTAGAAAGTAAGTGTACCTGGACCCACAGTATCAACATAGATTTTGGTACAGATCTAATAATTTGGGTAGTATTAAAACGGTAATATTAACAGCAATATTCTGAGAATTACTTGAAAAAGTTTTCAAAGCCTGAGCACTATGAATTCTGGATCAGTTTGTAAGAGGTCTATGCATTACAAATTGTGACGAGCTGATCACTCGTCAAAGGAGTTCCACCATCCGTAAAATAATCATGAAACTGAAAATCAGCGGCTAGGGCCCAATAGGGCTGTAGAGCCAGTGAATATATATATATATATATACTATATGAGTGTGTGTGTGTGCGCGCGCTCACTACAAAAACGTCAGTTTGACACAGTTGAAGTGCCTTGCCCAGGAGCTTAGGGGATACAGAACTGATGTAGTATTATGGAAGAGATTTTATTGCTGCAAACTAGCAAGGAAAGGGGGAATCTAATCTGACCAGCACTGTTGCACTGTCACCTTATTTCCAAGCCCTTAGGAATAAGTATGAAAATGATGATCATGAGGAGTTCTAATCCTAATGATATTTGTTTTTGTACAAAAGAAAATTGATTTTCTCACCGTGAAAATAAAGAGCCAGCTTATATTTGTACTTACACAGTATTTTACTTCAAATAGAATAAACCACTGGCATCCACAAATGTCAGTAATAACAGGAATACAGCCTTGAAAGGTATTAAATGATAAACCACATGTCAATATGAGAATTATTCAAGTGAATCTGAAAAAACTGCAGTCCAACAGCTTATAATACTTACTGACCTATACTGTCTTTACTAACAAATAAAAGATTAAAATAAATTTGAAAACATACAAATAAAATTTGTTAATTTACATCACTATTGAGTTTTCAAGTGTGACATTTCCTGTAATTTTGACTCAATTTTGAATTCTTAAAATCTCAGAACTGCTTAATCCAGACAAGGCAACTCAGTATTTTATTTAATATTAATGTTTTAAGACAAGAATTGTTTTTCTATTATAAACACTGTACACTCTTGTAGGCACACATCTGTGTCATTTTTATTGTTTGCATCCTGCTTTGTGTATCCATGATCCTGAAGATTATCATTTTGATTGAAATATGCTGCGGTATGTATAATACACACAATTATTAACACATTAATATTAGCCTTATTTACTCATAGATTGTTGGAGTGATGGCCATGTTGGCACCCTTCACATCTGTGTGCCTGCAAGACAAAGCAGACAATATTCCACCTACAGTTTAAGCAATGAAAAACTTTCAGCTAGGTGAACCATTGCTCCGAATAGTGTTATGTAATATATGAGGGGTTCATGCCATGTTACTGTAAGTCTATATACACACACATAAGCTGTATATATGTATATGTACCATCTCACACGACCTTTTATACAGTTTTTATAAATTTGATATATTATTTATCACACATAGCTATATCATCAGGCTATTATGCCTAAATGTATTCTAATGAAAGTGCTGTTAATTTGTGTTGTCAATATTAGCCAGTACTGAAGCTGAATTTAAAACTGTACATAAAAAATTATACGACACAAGCAAAAAGGCTGCAAAATGAATGAACCAAATACTATAATGGCAACTACTGTAGCTGCCTAGAATTATAGACATATTTAATAGTGTGGGATTGGTTCCCACAATAACGTTTAAATTTTTTGTTTATTAATTGGGCTTGATTGCTGCCACAAGTAAAGTAATTAATTTAATTTGATCATTTAGATTCACATTCTTCTGCAAGTAACAGAAGTAAACTGGGAATACACAGATTCATTTGGTCTTCAGTATTAGTATGTTGTGAAGCTAGTGAGTTCCTTTGTGGGATCTGAAGCCACAAATCAGAGCAATAAGCCATTTCTGTCATCATAAGTCAGTTCAAGAGGGGTCCTACACAGGAGTACGTCTGGGAACTGAAGGTGTGCAGATGGGGAAATACATTAAGATGATGATAATTCTGTTTTTACAAACAGCCAATAGCATATATTTGATTTAAGGGTGAGGAACTCTGTCTGAATTAGCCAATTGGAAATGTGGGATTTATATTAGCATGCTTTCTCACATTTTTCATTGCATATTTTTCTGTTATCTCCCTTCAGCTTAATCTCAGGTATTTATATAAGTGTAGTGAATCTGACATGGGTTGCCCACTGACTAAAATAGATCCAGTTTCCAAAATGTTGTTTTCTAGTTTTCAGAACACTGGATGGTGAATAAAGTCTGAAAAAGAAATTTTGAGTGTTATACACCATTGTCAGAACCCTTTAGAATCTAATTAACAGTAAATTCATTAGAATACATACATAGAAACTTTTATGGTTGAAACAGGTAGCTAAAGGTGAGAGGATATTGTGATTTAGAAAAATTGTATAAAATGCTGTGTGAGATGGTATACATAATACACATGCGCACACAGAGGTTCAGTCAAGATTTACAGACTTCATTTAGTGAATACAGTCTAGCTTGAGAACTTTTTCTTCATCTTGGAACATGTTTAGTTCTTATTACTGTAATTTGTTGTTAACTATGCTGTTTATTCTATCCATTTACTATTGCTTTGTAGTTATTTTAAACAGCAGTAATAAAGGAACCAAAATGAATGATGACTGAATAAGAAACAACTGACCTTCCATCTTCCACTGCAAATTTTGAAAATTCTGATCATACAGAGCACCAGTCAATAATCATTTCAATCATGTGCAATTACAATTTTGTGAGGTCTAGTACAGTCCTTCAATGATTACCTCCAATAAATTTAGTACAGGCTTTTAGAAACTGTTTTAGCTTTTAAGCTTTGCTCAGTATTTACAAGCACATATTTCCACATTGAAACATGATAAATCACTGATTCTGAGACATCAACTTACCCCACCATCTTGTTATTGCAACCTCAGTACAGCAGTGGATTTTATGACTTTAGTCAGCATTTTACTGCATCCCTATGTTCATGCTGAAGAACTGTCATGACTCTCACTCACTCAATCACTCATAGAGCTGAGCCCTTCTTGAGAAGCCAAGCATTTTATGGAACCCGAATATTCATTACCGTGTTCACAAGAGCCATCCACTGGTCCCTATTCTGAGCCACATTAATCCAATCAATACCACCCCATCCTATCAATGACACATTTCAGTTTCAAGGGATGTTATAAATAATTTCACAATTCTAAAATTCTGTGTGAGTGAGCTATAAATCAACAAACACTGATGAGAATAATTTCAGGATTCTGTTTGAACATTTTACAGTAGTTTTTCCAGATTATAAAAATAGGCAGACGTTTCTCTGCCATATTTATACCATACGAGCCCTTAATGGATCTACTTTTAGGATCACTGAAAAATTTTAATGTAACAAATCTGGGGTTACTGTTTGGTTTTTATTTTAGTGGGCAGGCCCACAGAAGGTATGTTGGCTGTGACAAACTGCAAACTGTGAATAATAAAATAATGGATAAATAATGGCAGTAACCATTATAAGATCTATAGTATCAAACATATGACTAGAAATAAGTTTCCTATTCTGTCCCCCTACAGTAACAATATCATTTGGTTAGGAATGGAGTAATAGAAACTCACTGCTTAAATCAGCATATTGCAAACACTACTCATTCACATTCATTCAATGGATAATATTCCTAAATGTTCCATCTACTGTTGCATAATCATACTAGCTGATTTATAAATGATGAAACATTTAAACAAGAATATTAACAAGGATAAACTACATGGGTTCACTGTACTACATCATGACTGTGGCTTTTCATCATACAGGCTGTAGTTCAGTTACTTTATGTTGATCATCCATCTACCAGTCTTCTTCAATTTATCTATTACAGTTTCCAGCCTGATCAGTTGGAATGACATCACAACTTCATCTTGGCCAGATGCAGAATAAAGAAATTTAGAAGATTACTGCCTTTTGGGATGTGACACTTCATGGCATGACAGATTCTTCCTCTGAAAGACCGGTAATGATATAACAGACGACAGGTAATGATATAACAGACGACATGGCATCAGATCCCAGAATATAGCAACCTTCAGTCATTATCATCAGAACCTCAATTCTCACAATGAAATTTAGGTCTGGTAAAAATATCAAGACTAAAACAATTTGTCTTCATACAAGTTACAAGTCATCATTAGGATTATCAGAAACTGCTGATTTGGACCTCAAGGCATTGCATATGAGAATTACATAATTTGATAAAATATATTTAATGAATTCACTGCTAGCCTCAGAGCTGAAATGTTTGATGCTGGATGATAGGAAAAAATGTAGGAACAGCCCATCCTTTACAGACATCCAGCAGGCTCCACAAAACATACAAAATGAAATGGAACTGAAATATATTTGCTCCACATGCATAAAATAGCTTGTTCTTCACGAGTTACAGAAACAGACTGACAGAACTGTCACCATTCATGGCAAACAGTTCAATGGAATTGTGTGACAGGATCCACCCTGACTGACAAGCCAACATATTATCTGGTTTGTTCAATTTCAAGTTGAATATTTCATTAGTGACTAGAATAACTACGTTCAATTATACCTGTAAAATGTGGTGCATCAGATCAAATTACCATTTAGTATGGAAGGCTGTTTCATACATATGGGAACCACTATATAATATATATTTTGAAGCCCTACCTTAAACACATGCTATGTACAAATTGAAAGTGGACAGAAATTAATTTCTGGGGATGTCTTGCGATTTATTTGTTGGATCAGCAGAAAGACAAAATAATGTTAAGAACAGAGAACATATAACGTTTAGGTGTTAAGTGGCGATTGTTCAGATTGTGGTCTTCTGAGTTGTGACAATGCTGAACCTTGAAATGAAGGCACCATGTTCCTCTGAAGCATCGGTAGCCATCTACGAGACTATATGGTGTCTCAATCCAGAATACCATATTCTGAAAATGGTAAAAATGTTGTACAGGGCAGATAATAAGTAGAGACGAATAAGAAACATGAATAGTCTCGGTACTCAAACAGGAAATTGTGGATATGAGAAACAAGGAGATAAAAAGCAAGGTGTACAGAAGGAATTCATGACAATAGAAAGTAAGAATTTAAAGAAAGGTGACTGGAATAACTAACAGTTATGGAATATAGGAATGAAAACTGTGGAAATGGGAAAACCTCAAAAAAATAAATATTGCTTAGTCATCATTTTAAAAATCAGTATCTAGTCTTTTTTGCTGGTTCACTTTGACATCACAAGATGATAATATAGCCATCGCCCACATGACTCTACTTCCCCCTTCTTGTCACACTAAGAGATCCTTATTAGATTAAATCAGGAGTAGAAGCAGTGATTACATAACAGCCATAGCCACAAAGGAACATACATGTTTTCAATTGTGATATAGAAGGAAGTTCCTAGATGGTGGTACCAAAATGAGAAAGGGGTGAAAAAGAAAAGGGGGGGGGGTATGTTTCGTTATTAGCCACAAGTTAACAAGATCTAGGATTACTGTATGTTTCTACTGATATTTCTTTGGATAGATGGTAACAATTGCTATGAAGAAATAAATACCAAAACCATTCAAACCTACAATTTAAAATAACAGTCAGCTACACTCTTATTATGTATACCTGCCGATAAAAACTTAGTGTCATCAAACATCAATGTACTGTTGCACCTTGGATACAGCTGCCATGCACCCACTTCCCTTTTTTCATGCAATATAAATTTACCTTATTTTAAACTGAAATAATTTGTTTGTTACACAAATCTTAGCAATTCAGGTACTATTTAAGACTCTGGAAATCATCTTCAAAAAACAATGTAATTTAGGTCTGTTATTTTCTTCTGTGTGCATTACCATAGTTGCCTCATACCCAGGAAGTTCATAGTTCAGGAATGGCCGGGAATAATCTTCCTAGTTTCTAAATATGACAGTAAGCAGCCTCCATAGTCTAGGGGTAACGTTCCCACCTCATGACTCAAGGTACACGGGTTCAAACCCGGCAGAGGTCATGGAGGAACTTTAAGCCGTGGGTCCCGTGTCGTAGATTTACGGCACATAAAAGATCCTCATGTCTCTAGGAGACCTCTGAGCAAAATTAGGCAACAATTTCCCACCCAAGTAGTTTCCAATGCCTCTGGTAGATGGGGGAAATATCAGGTACCGATGGCCGACCTCGTTGGCTGAACGGGGCTGATAGCACGCACCAGTACTGGTAGGGTATGGTGACAGTAGAAATTAAAGGGGGATGCACAATGGATCAATAACTGGTCTAAGTGCATGGAGAAACGCACCCCCTCTAATAATAATAATAATAATAATACTATGACAGTATATAGGCCAATGTTTAAATTATTTATTGCAATGCCTATGGTCTCCTTCCACTCCTCCAGTATACTTGTATGGATTCATTTTCATTCTGAAAACTGACCTGTGTTTGAATCTCTCAACGTCTACTGTAAATTTATTCAGTGCCTCTTCAGGCATGTAACTTTTAAACAAGAAGTAACTTCAAGTGTGAATACTGAATTTTTTAAAGCTGGAAAAATATCAATATAAAATAATTCACACCAAAATAATATATAAATTGAAGTGCATGTGGACCCAAGAGCTATTACAAGCATGAATCTTTTGATTTTCTTGAATTCATGGTAATTTTTCTCAAACAAATTAACGGCCATGGAAATTTTGTCCTTATTGTTTTATTTTTTTAAATCAACACTGAAAAGATACTTGAAAGAGGGATGTTAGAATTTAAATACCTGCCAAATAGTAGTAGTACCACCCCGATTTCACACAAGGACAAATATGGTGCTGTTATGTATGAAAAGAACCAGGTACCAAAATAACCTGCAGTATCCAATCTAATGTACTGCATTTCAACGGTATATGTTTGTTAATATGTGTTTGCCTGATGATGGCCGTTAGTGGCTGAAACATGTAGCGAAACCATAGCTGGGTGCTGACCTTGATTTTTTCTGTTTGTTGTGTTGTGACAGTCAATAAAGGGTTGTATCATTCTTTTCTTTATCTCTAGAATCATTCAAACACTTTAATCCTTGTTCATTTCATGGCTTATTTTAAAATGATATTTCCACTGTCTTAGTCATATAGTATCAAATGACAGGACAACTATACATAGAACTGCAAGGGCCATACAGTGGAGGAGCATGGTCAAAATCTGTAGTAGAGTACTATCCAGATATTTTTCTCAAAGGGCTGAAAGGAACCATAAAAATTCCCTCAAGGCATGCATTCTCTAGGCCATGATCTAGACTTGAGCTTTTCTGATTATATAGCTGCAATGTAAACTGCTGACCTATAACAGCATATACATACATACATACATAGATTTGTCAAGCTGGTCAAGACTGAAAAAGGTGGGGGGGGGGACTATTACCTGCAAATAAGTGTTTGATATGTTGGCTGGCTGGTTGTTTGGAGACTGAGTGCGTATAAAATAGAGACAGATTATCACTGCTACGAGGACCTTGAAACTGATGTATAGAGACTGACTTTGATAACTCTGATGCATATATGCACTGATTAAACTGAGCATCCTGTCACACAATGCACTGCTTGTAATTGGACGGCTTCCATATGGCCTATTAAGTTCATCTTCAATGAAAATCAGGGTAACCCGGACCCTTTACACATACTATAAACAACCTCAATATTTAAAAACAGGATGAATAAAATTCGTATCAAAAATTTTCTATTTTCAGTAATTGATGTTTATTGAAATGTTATTACGCTATATGTTATGGCTGCTTCCACCATCATCGGGTATTTTATAAACAATAAAATGTGTCACTGTTCATTAATGAACTGCTTATGTAATGGTTCTGTTGCTACTGGTCTTACCATGTAAAATACAAACCAATGCTTATAAATATATATACATACAAATGTATATATGTTCAAATGTTTAAATATATTGTAATGTGAATGGCCAGAGCGTTGCTGGGTAACTGACTGTGAAACACCTCACAACCGAATACACACAAGGCAACAATAGAAGTAAGGCCTTTTCTATGCGTCAGTGCCACAACCGCTGCTACACAACATCGCGGTAAACACTCCATAAAACAATAGAGGCTGTTTTCTATGCGTGGTAGACAGAGACAGAACAGATTTCATTGTTTGACAATGAGAGAGTTCTTGGTGGAAGACAGCCACTGATTTGAAGTGCTTGTTCCCATGTTCTAATTGCACTACCAGGAGAGCACTAGTGTGTATGTGTGTGTATGTAAGAGTGAATTATGAAGCGTGTGTAAATCAGCAGTAGTCCTGTAATTTAAGTGTAATTAAGAGAGACTGTACCAAGGTGCTAATAAATCCAGTCATCCGAACTAGAACCCATTATTCTCATCATGCGTACCACCCTACACATGACAATATATTAAAATATTTGGCAATAATTAGTAAAATTTCCTAAAGTAATTATTGTTTATTAGTTTTTGTTAAAGTTGTTTCCTTTGCTGATAACTCCAATCAGCAGTAACAGTAATATCACACAAACCCTTTTATGAAAATTAGTAAACAGCAGTAAAAAGCCAACATTATTATGGTATAGTACATATAGTAAACAGAACAACTTTAACAAAAACTAATAAACACTAATTACTTTAGGAAATTTTACTACTTGCTGATAAATATTTTAATATATTTAAACATTGTAACCCATATGTATTTGTATGTACTGGTAAAATACACAAGGATCACACAAGGGATAAAGGTGTCTTGACAGAGGCTGCAACTTTTACGTTTATTAAAAAGAAAGATGTCCCTGTCAGTTCACACTTTGAAGTATATAAAGAAATATCAAAGAATTTATAAGAAAGTAATTTCTGTTGCCCGTCAAAGAGAAAATGACCTAATTATTAAAAGGTCAGTCAAAAATTCAAAAACTCTATGGAAAATAATAAAAAGAGGAGTCAGGAAATAATTTTACAGAAATAGTTAGATACAAACCCATAGGATGTATCCCAACAATTTAATGATTTTTTTTTTAAATAGCGTAGACAAGCTGATACATTTAAATAAAAACTGTAAAATTGACCATGCCACTACAAATGATGCGATACAAAATCCAAATGTATTATTTTTGCCCCTGTTACTGAAGAAGAGGTTCTTCAGGTTACTAGTAAACTACAAAACTAAAATTTCAGTGGGTTATGATAAGATCCCAGATATGATAGTTAAACAATGTGTCCAAACCATAAAAGAGCCTTTGATTTTATATTTAATCTGTCACTAAGTTATGGCATTTTTCCAAATCAAATAAAGATTGCAAAAGTTTGACCTATTTTTAAAGAAGGTCAGAAACAAAATATTGCAAATTACAGACCAATCTCAGTTTTGTCTGTTAGTATGGGGACAAAATATTTAATGGTCTTCCAACTGAATTAAAGAATGTAATAAATTTTAATGTTTTTAAGAAGAACCTTAAGAATTATTTGTTGTGTAATGTCTTCTATTCTCTTCAAGAATTTTTTAACAATTGTTGACATGGACTGCTTGTTGATAAATCTGTCTGTATATTTTTATGCCTTTTTTGGGGTATTTACTATTATTAATAATTGTTGACATAGACTACTTGTTAATAAATCTGTCTATATGTTTAAAATATTTTTCTTATGTCTTTTTTGGAGTATTTATTATTCTTAAATTAAGTTAAAAATGTATTTGAAAACGTATTGCTGTATTATAGTGATAAATCACTGTGAATGTTATGTCATTTTTGATGTGATGTTAATATTTGACATGTCCAATTGTAATTCTCTACAGCTATGGATGAAATAAATAAATACTAATAATAATAATAATAATAACAATAATAACCAGTATCAACAGATCCATTGCATAAGCAGTTCAGTAACGAACAGTGACACATTTCATTCCTTATAAAACGCTTGATGATGGTCAAAATGACTGAAACA